GAGGGGGTACCCTGGGGTTCCCCCATCCCGGGGGTGGGTGGGGGGCGCGGGGGCTCTGACCCCACTCACGGTTTCCCCAGCCCCGCCATGGCCACCAGCGAGCCCGGGACGGCGCAGCCCAAGGCAGAGGAGCAGCAGGTCAGTGGGGGCAAGGGGGGGGTTGGTGTGGGGGTGTGCAGGGGGTCCCTGCCTGGGGACAGGGCTCTGGGTTCTCTTGCCCTTCGGTGGGCTTGCAGGGCCCTCAGAGTACCCCCAGAACCATCCTCGGGGGGTTGGGGGCGCAGAGTGCCCCCCCATCCCCTATGAGATTTGGGGCTCCATCACACCCACACTCATCCTGACCCCTTCGCACCCCCAGAGCATCGGGACGCGGGTGGCCAGCCTGCCCCTGGTCAGCTCAGCCTACGACATGGTCTCCACCGCCTACGCCTCCACCAAGGAGAGCCACCCCTATGTCAAGTCCGTCTGCGACGCTGCCGAAAAGGGGGTGAAGACGCTGACGGCGGCGGCGGTGAGCGGGGCCCAGCCCATCCTCACCAAGCTGGAGCCGCAGAGTGAGTGGGGCTGGGGGGGCAGCACCCCATGGTTCTGGGGTACCCCAAAAACCGGCCCTAGCAGAGCTCTTGCAAGGCAGCAGGGGAGGGAGAAGCTGTTTTCTCATCTCCAGTTTCCACCACCAACAAATACACCTGCAAAGGGCTGGAGAAGCTGGAGGAGAAGCTGGGAGGGGGGCAGCACCCCCTGAACTTTGGGGTGCCCAAAAAACTGGCCCTAGGAGAGCTTTTGCAAGGCTGCAGGGTGTTAAAAGCCATCTGTTTTTCACATCTCTAGTTTCCACCGCCAACGAATACGCCTGCAAGGGGCTGGATAAGCTGGAGGAGAAGCTGCCCATCCTGCAGCAGCCCACGGAGAAGGTAGCGGGGTGGGGTGGGGTGGGCAAGCACACCTGAGGTCGTCCCCCCCCACCAAGTGCTGCTTAACAGAGGGTTGTCCACCCCCAACCAGCTCATCTCAGACACCAAGCAGCTGGTGACATCCACGGTGACGGGGGCCAAGGATGTCCTGACCAGCACCGTGGCCGGGGCCAAGGACGCGGTGACCAGCCGGGTGACGGGTGTGATGGACATGACCAAAGGGGCCGTGCAGGGCAGCGTGGAGCTGACCAAGTCGGCGGTGAGCAGCGGCGTCAGCACCGTCATGGGCTCAACCGTGGGCCAGATGGTGGTGAGCGGGGTGGGCTCCATGCTGGAGAAGTCTGAGGAGCTGGTGGACCATTACCTGCCCATGACGGATGAGGAGCTGGGTAAGGAGCTGATCACAAGCCCCTGGAGATGTCTCATGGCCTGGGGGTCTCCTTGGAGAGGGGTGGGTAGAGCCTGGGCAGGGCGATGCTGGCTCTACGTGGCGGGGGGTGGGGGTGGTGGGGCCACCTCAGCAGCTCCTCTCCCGCAGCCAAGCTGGCCACAGCCGTGGAGGGCTTTGAAATGGAGCAGCAGAAGCAGCAGCAGAGTTACTTCGTGCGCCTGGGCTCCCTCTCGGCCAAGCTGCGGCACCGAGCCCTCCAGCACTCCTTGGGCAAGCTGCAGAGCGCCCGCAGCAGCAGCCAGGACGTGCTGGCCCAGCTCCAGCGCACCCTCGACCTGGTAGGACCCATCCCCGTGTCCCCCCGTGCCCCGCGGGGGCTGTGGCAGACTACCCACGCCAGGCTCTCCCTCTCCTCCCAGGTGGAGCATCTCAAGCAGGGCATGGACCAGAAGCTGCAGGGAGGGCAGGAGAAGCTGCAGCAGATGTGGCTGGAATGGAGCAAGAAGCAACCGGGCGGTGGCAAGGACCTGGTGCCACCAGAGGTAGGTGGAGGGCAGGGGGTCCCTGGGGTCACCCGGTGTCCCCCCAACCCCTCACCACCCCCTTGTCCCCCTACAGCCGGTGGAGTCGGGGACGCTGGCCCTGCTGCAGGGCTTGACGCAGCAGCTCCAGAGCTCCTGTCAGCCCTTGGTGTCCAGCCTCCAGGGCCTCCCTGCTGGCATCCAGGAGACGGCGGGGCAGGTCCGGCAAAACGTGGAGGAGCTACGGGCAGCCCTCGCCTCCGCTGCCTCCCTCCAGGACGTGACGGGCAGCGTGCTGGCCCAAGCCCGTGCCCGTGCCACCAAAGCCCGCCAGCTGATGGACGAGCTGGTGGAGCACGTGGCCCACAACACCCCCCTGACCTGGCTGGTGGGACCCTTTGCCCCCTCAGGCCAGCGCATGGTGGACCTGGAGGTGCAGTAGCATCCTCTGGGCTGGGGTGATGTTGGTCCTACCCCCCCCTTAGTGCCTGCCTGCACAAGGGACCTCTCCTGCCTGCCCCCGGCGCAGCTCTGTCCCTTGTCACCTGTGCCAGGGATGTGCAGTAACCTGCCTTGGCCCCCCAAGTGCCTGTTGGGGTCAACTCCAGCCCCTGGCTAGATCCTCCTTGTCCTTGGTGCCTTCAAGTCCCTGCTCTTGTAGGGTCGGGCATGGCTCGTGAAGCAATAAACTCTGGTTAGTTTTGCACTGGACTGAGGCTTCTTCTGGGGGGGGTTGAAGAATTGGGGTCCCTGTGGCTGCATCCCAGCCCAAGCAGGGGCTCAGGGGGAGTGATGATGTCATAGCCCTGCGTGACCTCACAGGGGCTGGGGCTTCTAAGGGAGTCACTGGAGGGGACAGCCTGGTGCTGAGCCCGCAGGACATTGGCTTCTTTCTTCCACCACCTGAGCAGAGCCCATGGCTGGTGAGTGGAGGGGGTGCTTGGAAGGAACAGCCCCCCCCAAGTCCTGGGGACCCCCATGTCCTGGGCCCCCCACCCATCCCACAGCCCAGTGAGACCCCTGGCCTGTCCCCAGCCCTGGTGGGACTGGGATGGGAGGACAGGAGCAGGAGGTGGGACCAGGGCTGTCCTGGGAGTGGGATGGCCCCAGCCCTGGGGACACAGACAGGCCCATCCCAGGGGGCTCAGGGCAGCAGGGTCTGGCAGTGGGGGGGTGCTGGGACCTGCTCACCCCGGTGGGATTGAGGGGCAGCACCCTGTGCTCTGCATGCTATGCAGTGGCACCGTGCTCTGTCCCCCCAGACCGGGCTGTCACCCCCACCACTGGTGACAATGGCCCTGGGGGATCGTCCTCGGGTGCAGGACTGCGGTGGTGGGGGCTGAGCAGGACCCCAGGCCCCCCCAGCACAGCTCAGCCCCTCGCCCTGCACAGCTTGCCATGAGCCGGGTGCCCACCAGTCCCACCAGCAGACCCCCCCATGCTCCTGAAGGAGACAGGCACCAAGGTCCCCCCATGGGCACGGCTTGGCCCAGAGATGGCACTGGGGCTCTGTGGCACCCACCTGCACCCCGGGAGTCAGCGCTGTGCCCCCCCTTGCAGGCAGAGCCTCCCTGGACCCCGCGGATGAGGCCACCCTGCAGCCATCCCAGCAGGTACCCTGTCCCCGGGGGCTGGGCCCCTGCTTGGGGTCCCACAGGTCCCTGGAGGGGACTTTGCGGGTGTCCCGGGGGTGGGTGCCTGACGGCAGCCCCTCTGCGCCCCAGGCTGCTACAGGCTCTGCCCCGAGGGGTCCCCCCACGCAGCCAGGGGTCCCTGAGGACACCAGGACCAGCATCCCCTCGGTCGTGGCCATCATCCTCCGCGCCTTGCTGGGCCCCGCGGTGGGTCAGCTCTTCCTCCACGGTGTTGAGCGGGTGCTGGCTACATCCCAGCGGTGGCTGAACCGTTGCCTGCCCCTGGGCAAGAGGCAGGCGGGTAAGAGACCCTGGGGTGCTGCCGGGGGTCCCCACATCCCCCTCGCCCTGGGATGCTGCTGGGGGCCAGGACCCCCAGCACCCCATCTCCAGCCCCTCTTCCCCCACAGCAGACAGGGCTGCAGAGGGGCCAGATTCAACGGACGGGGCTCTCCGGCACAGCGGCCTCCTTCCCCTCGGCTCCCTCTCCAGCAACGTCGGGAGCCGAGCCGTGGCCCTGGTGCAGCAGCTCTGGCAGAAGGGCCTGGACACCCCCCTCGATGTGGTGAGAGCCTCCGCTTCGCGGTGCTGGGTGGGTGGGGGGATCCCCACCATGCCCGGGATCCCCATGCCCACGGTGCCATTCCTCCCGCAGACGAAGGCCGTGCAGCAAGGCTTGGAGGAGCCGCTCTGCAACAGCCAGGAGCTGTGGGTGCACAGCAACCAGGCACAGGCAAACCCCTGCCCACACCCTGCCTGTCCCAGCACCCAGGCAAGGCTGCCCGAGGGGTGCGGGACCCCCATGATGCCACCGGGGCAGGTGCTGGCTGCGGGTCGGATGCTGGCACAGCGGCTGAGGGACACCCTGGTGCAGCTGCAGGCTCGGGTCGGGCAGCTGCCAGCCCTGCTGCAACAGGCAGCACGGCAAGCCCAGCGCAGCGTGGCCGAGGTCCACGGCACCTTCAGCCAGGCCGTGTCCCTGCGGGAGCTGCTGGGGACTGTGGTGGCCCAGGGACGCGAGGCGGTGGCCCAGGCCTGGGAGGTGCTGGTGGTGTTCCTGCTCCGGCCCCCACTGGCGCCGTGGCTGGAGGATGCCGGCGAGGCTGCCGGCACGGCGGCACCACACACCACCACACCGCACCCCCAAACCTAGGGGTGCCCCAAATTCAACCAGCCTCGGCCTGAAACCCTGCTGCGTCCTCGGTGCCACCAACATGGCTCTGCTCACGTTCATGTCCGTGTCTTGGTGTTATTCTGTCCCCAGTGCTGCCATCCGTGACCATGGGGGCTGCAACAGCTAAAGGCAATGGGGGAGTTTGGGGGGGACGGACAGACCCCGGGCTCCTTGCTGGGGCAGCACAGGGCTTAACCAACCCCTCCTGGGGGGCAGCGACACGTCCCCATGGCCCCGTCCCCCTTCCCCAGCGTCGGGGGCCGGGCTGCCCCCGCGTCTCCCCAGCCCCAGGCTGGGGCTAAGCCCCCGGCTCCGCACCGGGCAGCAGCACCCGCCTCACCCCAGCTCCCAGCTTCTCACCCACCGCTTCCCAGCAGTTGGGCAACAGGCACGCGGGGCTTTTTTTGTGAGGTTTTTATTTGGGTTTTGTTTACGGAGGGCTGGCTGGAGCGTGAAATCAGCCCTGGAAAAAAGAAAATAACCCTCTCCCCAGGGCAGAGTTATGGCAACAGCAGCCTCAAAGCGGGGCCGGGGCATCCTCCCTCCGCCACGGCACAAACAGGACTCGAGGACGCAGCGTCTGGTTGAGCTGGGAACATCTTTATTTGACATGTACAAAAGCTTCGAATCTTTGCAAAAGAGCAGACAGACAGACAGACAAAGATGCTGCCCAGCACAAGGCAGGATGCTGCCACGCTTCAGTCCCTCCCTGGCTGAGATAGGAGAGAATACACACAATATTTATTCTGTTTTTAACCCAAAAGCTGGTGCCCAGCCCTGCTGCCTCCCCTGGAGCAGAGGGACCCGGCTCCAGCAGCTGCCTCCGGCCGCAGAGAAGGCGATGGTGGGGAAGGGGGCTCGGAGCAGCAGAGAGAAGCCCCCATGGCTGAGGCAGAGCCCATAAAATCAAGCAGAAAGCAGCCTGGTTGGGCTCCCCTCGCCAGGGCCCGGCAGGGACACCCATGGGTGCCTGGTCCCGGCTCATAAGGTGGGCCAGGGCCAGGGGGAAGGGGGGACCCGTGGGGGCGTTTTCCAGCCCCGGCCCCGGGCAGGGGGATGCTCCTGCACTCCCCTCGTCACAGTCAGCGATGCCTCAAGAAACAGACACTAGGGCTCCTTGTGTTTTTCATTAAAAAACCCTTTATATTCATTTCATGTTGGTTGAAATCACAAGAAATTAGGTAAGGGGGAAAAACAAAACAAAACAAAACAAAAAAAAGAAAAAACCAAACCAAAACAAAAAAAGAGGGGACAAATACAGACAACCAGCACAGACCCCCGCGGTCGGTGCTTTCGCGGGGCCGGGGCACAGGACAAGACCTAGGACATCAGCTACTGCGTGACTTAGTGAAGTAACTCAAGCAGGAGACGAGGCAGAGGCCGCTCTCCCTTCGTGGCCCCTCCGTCTCCTCCTCCAGGCGGGAGCCGCTTCCTCAGCTCTCCTCTGCGTCATCCACAGCCTCTGACTCCCCGCGAGCCCTCTCCCGCTCCGGCCCAGCTCGCTCGGCCTTGGGATAATCCTGCACGCTGCTGGGGGAGAACATCTCAGTGAGCGTCTCCCCTGCCCATCCGCCTTCCCCTGCCCACAGCATTCCCTCATCCATGCCCCAGGCTCCTTCCCAAGCCGGGAAAAGCCTGACACAACCCCCAAGAGCCCCCCAGACCATCCCCACGAGAGCCCAGCGTGGACGTGCACCAGGTCCAGGAGAGCTCCCGAGCTCACAGCTCTGCCCCCCGCACGCTCACTTGTTGTGGGTCTCCTCGGCGGACGCCTCCGGCTCTCCGGCTCCCAGCCCTTGGCTTTTGTCCTTCTCCTCTGTGCCCTCCACTTTTTGGGACAGGGATTCACCATTCACAGGACCCGACAAGTCTAAAGGGAAGAGAGAGGCTCAGACACTCGGGTCCCCACAGCGGACCTCGTCCACACTGACCCACGAGGGGCTGGGCAAGCCGAGGACCCACGGGCACAGGTTGTCCCCATCCAGGCAAGGGACACCCAGCTGAGACCGAGGGGACTCCAGGTCTGGCCTGACCCCGATAGCTACAAGAAGGGCCCCCAAGACTCCATCCCCCAAGCCCAGAGGCAGGCGTCAGAGCAGATTTTCCCCATCAGCTCTTCTGGGAAGGCTCTTGCAGCATCACCGGGACGTCCCCAGGCAGGGACCCGGCTACGAGGGTGGAAGATCCCAGTCACCAGCTGCCTGCGCAAGAGCCTGAGCCAGCGTCCAAGGGCGTCTCCGCATTCCTCCATCTCCCTGGTGCCTTGGACCAGTGCTCAAGCTGGCAGCGAGGAGCCGTCCTGGCCCAAAAATCAGCTCAGAGGCACCCAAAGCCAGGGTGCGGGCGGTGAGGTTTGCCCTCTGCTCTCACTGCCGCGAGCCTTGGATATTCAGGCCTTTCCCACTCTTGGCACTCAGCGAACAAGGGACTGGAGGTGCCACATGTGGCTGGCGCTCCCCCCCGCCACTGAGGCCAAGAGCCACCCCTGTCCGTGTCCCCAGTCCCCAGCGGGACATGCCGTGTCCCTGTCTGTGTCCCTCGTCCCCAGCGGGACGTGCCGTGTCCCTGGTCCCCAGCGGGATGGGCCGTGCCCTGAGAAGGGCCCTGGGATCGCTACGTGCCCGGACAGAGCAG